ATTTATTTTACAAACTAAAGGTAATGTTCTTTTTCAGCTATGTTCTTTGTAGTCTAAACAGTTGCTCATATTAGGAATTAGCTCAAATCTTAGCAAAATTTACATGTGTATATCAAAATTTGAATTCATCAAGTTTTGAATCTTTATAATTTATCTAGTTATATGTATAATTTAGATAACATAGATTACAAATATATTTACATGGGTTCTAAAATATCTCTGCTAGATCATTTTTTTAAGATCCATACTCCGTGAATTCTAGAATACACCGAAAGACATAGAAAACTCATATTTTAATGCTAATCGCAAAAGGACATTATTCTTTGATTTGTATCAAAAAGGCTTGATAAGAGTTTTCCCCATTTTAAAATATTAAACATTGTATATTTATAAGATAATATATATTCTGGGATAAAAATAAACAGATCCCAGCTGTTTTATCAATTATAATTAGAGAATAAGAACCAATGTTTGGGGTCCAGATGTACATTTTTAATCATATATGCTTTTGTTTCAAAAATTGAGGGATTTTGTTTACAATGTAGACTATATGGTTTATATGACATGGAAGCATAGTATCTTTGATTTATTTAGTTTGGAAAAATAACAGTTTTTTATTCATTTTTATTTTGAGAAAAAATTCTAAAATACTTCAGTCTGTAAATTTTAAAAAATGTATACCTTCTTTCTTTGACATTCTTTACTATAACAAATGAATGATATACCATAAACTTCCCTAATTATATTATTATGAAAGTTACTATTGGAAATATAAGTGCTTTCTGTGCATTTTTCTTCCCACCCATCTCACTTTCTCATCTATACACTTGCTATCTCTTAATAGAAACCCCACATATCTTTGATTTGAAAATATAATGTGTGTTGTTTTCATTGCTTACATTAACAGAAGTTTTTGCTATTTTCAAAGAAGAAACTTAATTCTTACCCTCTGACAAAGGGCTAGAATAAATCTGTTAATGCATTGCTCCTTTGGGATGTTTTAATATCCCGTCATAGAAATTAATCACACCTTTAGACCATACATCGTGCTCCTTACATTCAGGAAGTTGTTACTACAACAAGATCCTACTAGGTATTCTAATATTTTTTTTAAATTTATGTAACCACCATCCTTTCCTTTGTCACATGTGGTTTTGCTGCTTTCTGTGAGTGGCAAGGGCCCTGAGATGCAACAATACTAGGGTGTTTCTGATTATTGGGGCTACTCCATTGGTGTAAGGGGTTTCCCACACTTCACTCAGCGATGCTGATTCATGGGACCTCCGAGTCTGTACCTGCGACATTGTGGGTAGGAGAGATGGTGAGCCATGTACTGTTGAGGTTTTAAGTTGTTGGAAATTGTCCCTCTAATAATAAACCCCAAAGTGAAGATAGTCCCCTGGGCAAACCAGCACAGGCCTTAGGATAGTAATGGGCAGTAAAATGCACCCAGGAAAGAATAGGCTAGATTAGAGGGCGAGTAAAACTTGTCCCAGGAGAAAATAGAATAAAAGAATTTATGGTCTTCAAGGATGGAGAAGGAAACATAGGCTAAAGATAAATAGGAAACTGCCTCAAAGTTCTCTATAATTTTAGTCTGCCTGCTGATTGGCTATGTATATTATCTCATCCTCTCCTTATATGTACCCGTTGCATTTTGATGTGCTTTCTAACTGTTTTTAATGTCTTTGTCAATTTAAAAATAACTCGCAGGTTAGGAATCACAGAGGCTGTGATAAATGGCCAGCCTGTGAATTCACTTATGGCTACTCAGAACACCCTAAAGTTTGGACAGGTGTGTGTGTGTGTGTGTGTGTGTGTGTGTGTGTGTGTGTGTGTGTGTTCATGTATGTGTTCATCTAATTCTCTAATTCTCTTGACCAGTCATATTGGCTGAGGTGTAGAAACAATTGGGCAGGATATTCAGGACAGAAATGGGGTCTGCCTCATGTAAGGCATACACCTTAACTCATGTAATCTCCCAGCCCTATGTCTCAACGTTTTAAGAAGAATATATCTTATTTTCTAGAATATATATTGGGAGATGGCTTTGAGAAGCAACTTAACCATTTTTATTAGTTTTCACTTTATATTTCTTGCCCATCAAAAATGTAGCTTTCACATATCTAAGTGAAGATGTTTATTGGACATAAGTGAAATTCAGAAATTAAGAGCATATGAGATGAAGGATGTTCACTCTTGGATGCACTTTAAGATCATCTAGATAACATTAAACCTATTGAGGTTTGAGCCTTATTTAATCTGAAGAGTGTTTGTTTTCTAGGTATGCTAGAAATAAATACCACAAACTTAAATATTTGGATTATTGGATATTATATTATTGGATATTATTATTTTGGATTAAAATAATATAAATGTGAAATGTGTTCTCTTTCTGGAATCTGGTATCAATGAGGCCAGCTTTCTGTTGAGATTCCAGGTAGATTCCTCCCTTGTCTCTTGGTAGTTTTGGGGCGATGACTACAAAGGCTTAGCATTCCTTGGCTTTCGATTGCAGGTGCATAAATCTGGGTCTCTGATTTCACCTTTTTTTTATTAGTGAAACATCATGAGGTACAGTTATAGACTTACAAATTTTTGTGCTTGGGTTTCAGTTATACAATAATCGAATACCCATCCCTCCACCAGTGCCCATTCTCCACTACCACTGATCGCAGTATCCATCCCACCCCCGACCCCCCATCCAAACCTGCCTCTGTGGCAGGGCATTCCCTTTTGTTCTCTCTCTCCTTTTGGGTGCCGGGGTTTGCAAAAGAGGCATTGAGTGACTATCATATTTGGTCTATAGTCTACTTTCAGCATGCTTCTCCTATCCTGGGAGGATCCTCCCAATGCCCTTTATTTGGTGTTCCCTTCTCTATCTGAGCTTCCTTTACCCCTCGCACGTGTGGCTGACCTCCAAGTCATGGACCAAAATTCCTGGTACTAATCTCAGCCACTCCTGGGTGTTAGTCTCCCATTTTGTTACTTTATGTTCCCCAGATGAATGCAATCTTTCTGCGTCTATCCCATCCTTTCTGACTCATTTCGCTTAACATGATACTTGATTTCACCTTTTATATGACATTTTTTTCTCACTTCTTAACGTGTCATTTTATAAGAACTCCATTTGTGTTGGAGTAAGAACCAAACTTACTACATTTTTTAAAAGAAAATCTCATGTAGCCAATAAGACCTATAAAGATTTTATTTGCAAATAAAATTACATTCAGTGGTAACAGGAGTTAGGATTTCTGTATATCTTTTGGGGAAAGACATAATTTAACCCACATTATTTAGCAAACAAGAATTTCTGGGAGCTAGGCATATTTAAGACATCTTTGGTAACTCTAATGGAAAATGGATTTGAGGGTTATCACTAGGTTAATCACTAGGTTAATGGAATCTCAGAGACCAAAAACTAGGAATGCTTTCATTTTTACTTGGAGAAAGCCTTTGACTCTTTGTCTTTGTTTTTTATATTATATTATCCATTTGTAGTTTGAGAACACTAACCAATTTTGTCTTAGACCTTTGAATTTTCATCTAAGTATTTAAATGCTTTTTATTTTAATAGTCTCATCTTTGCATCCAAATATGGAATGATTTACATCTTATTTACTGTGTAAATAGAGAAGTATATTTCTATAATTCCAAATATTTCTAAATTATTTAAAAGGCAGTTTTGAAGCTCTGGAAGTGATGACACTTTTAATGTTCAAATATCTTGTTAATCATACTTGGAGGAGAAACAGTACAGGAATAAGACACTTGCCATGCTCAAGGTTGACCCTGGTTCATTATTCCCTGGGTACCCCAGATGGTTCCCCAGATGGTTCCCTGAATACCAACAGGAGTGAGTTCTTAGCATAGAGCTAGGAGTAAGCACACCTGAGCACAGCCAGGTGTGTTCCCCCAAACCAAAACAACAAAAAAATCAAACCAAAAAACCTAGGTTATTATTTCATAATTTGTATTTCCATTTACAATAGCTCATTGGAAATAGTTGTGCAGCATATATTTAGATTAGTGGAGAAGGTGCAGAGTTTACAGAAGATAAGGGGTGGGACTTGGGTGTTAATAGAAACTCTAAGGAAACATGATACTGAGTTTTAAAAGTAGTCAACTAAAATATATTTGATACAATTTTTTCTAACATGTGATTGAGTTGGAGCTAAGAGTAGTTGGTAGTCTGAAAATTATCAGAAACAAAGTAAATTATTCCAATGTTAACTAACAATCCATTCCCATAATGTCTTAAAATGTAACCATTCAAGTATGTCCAGAGCAACGGCATGATAAAATAACTGTTAACAAGTCCTCTCTTGTTATTATTATGGTCTGTCACATTGATAATTTCTGTGCTAAATGATCCTTAGATACTTGCAGAAACAGTAGAATGTATTTAAGAAGTTCTGCAAATTGATAATTGTCTAGAATTGAAACCTGCTTTATTGTAGTGATTCATTGTTGTCTATTGGGTTCTACACTGCTTGTACCTTTGACCACCTCTGTATCCATTTGAAAAAGGGACCAACATTTGCCGTTAAGACACTGATGTTTAGCTATAGAACCAGTTTGCTGACCAGTCTTGACTATGGTTTTGAATAAAGTAGAAGGAATTTTCTTGATTAAGAAATACCAGCATTGTTCCATATAAATTTCAAGAGTGTCACTCAATGCCTCTTTTGCAGACCACAACACCCAAAAGGAGAGAGAGAACACAGGGGATTGCCCTGCCACAGAGACAGGGGGGATGGGGGGATGGGGGTGGGAGGGATATTATCCATGGTGGTGGAAGATGGGCACTGGTGGAGGGATGGGTATCTGATCATTGTATGATTGAAACCAAAGCACAAAAAATTGTAAATCTACAAATTTAAAAAAAAAATAAAATAAAATAAAGGGAAAAAAAAAAAAGAAATACCAGCATTCACTAAGTGAAAGTCCCACATGCTTACCTCTTTTCTCCCCCACCTCCACTTCCTGTTGTGCTGTAGGAGCGCGTCCCAGACAGCCCCTCTCCTGCCCCCTCTTTGGAGGAGGGCCGAAGGCCTGGCAGCCACCCATCATCCCATCGCAGCAGCAGTGTGTCCAGCTCCCCGGCGCGAACCGAGAGCTCTTCTGACAGAATCCGTAGGTCTCATACTTTTACTTGTCACCATTTTCAACTTTATTAGGTGCAGCTGGCTTTTCCAATCAAAATGCCCTCATTCCAAATAGATCTCAGATGCATCATGTTCTGAAGCTCTGTAGCAATAGCCATCTCTCAAAATTATGTTTCCCAGTTTGCAATATCATGAGGTATGATGCTACATTAACAGACACTGATATAAACTCCATCTCTTTGATGCTCACATAAAGATTTCAGCTATGAAACAGAGAAAGCAAGTAACCTTCTAGATTAGTTTCTGAAGTAAACACTTCCAAATCTCCAATATGCACTGTCTGTTATTTATGGACTCTTCAACTTAATTGCTTCAATCCCAGTCCTGTCATTCTTTAAATTCATTAATTTTGAAATTAATCCCTATATTGAAGAAACTTAGAGATATCATTCAAAATATTGACTTACAAAATATTTCATAACCAATCAGATGATCAATTGATTGAAGCATTTAAAATGTGCTAGATTTTAGGCCTTTAATTGGTCGTAGTCAATAATGTGTAGTATCATCATAAAGCATTATGAAACTGTGAAAGATAGGGTATATTTTCATTATTGTATTTTCAGATATTTATCCTTGTTCGTTTACCAAGAAAATTATAACTAAAATTAAAGTACCCTTTGATTACCCGTTTATTTTCTGTTTATTCTTGAATATAGTAATTTTTACAATAAAAATCAACTTATTAACAGTGACTAAATTGATTAAACCAATATTAATTATAGTATAATCCTTACATAGTTAAAACTATTTGGGTTGTTTTATTCTGATACTGCTTTAGTAATAGGAAAATACTTTCAGGAAACTGTCTTTACAAATTATAAATGGATATTTAGATAGAAGTGCCTAATATGCAAAGCATTGAGATGACTAACTTAAATATTAGGTCAATTTATATAGAATAAAATATTTGAGTCATTAATATTAAAAATTACATTGGCTAACAGAATTCTAAGTAAAGCACTTGAGTTGGTCTGCAACATGTATTTCTGAGCTTTGTTTATTCATAGAGCAGATGTATTCATTGATAAATGCTCCAAAGTCCAAAGTCAGTATTTCCTCAGTATAGTCAAATACAAATCCCAGTGCTCAAAATATTGTTCAATTATGATACTGTGTCTTTTTTTGTGTTGTGCCGAAATTAGAAATACATATTCAATTATAAATACTTGATTTCATGTCTATTAATTTTTTAGAGAATTATTTAAAATGTACTATCAAAAGGAGGAAAGATTGTTTTTATCATAATAATTAAATTGCAATAATATACAAAGATTATACTATTTGAAAAAAATTTATTTCATTTATTAAGTTAACAGTTATGTTCTTTTATTCTTGATAAACAAAACGCAGAAAGTTTTATATGGTTGGGTAATAATTGTTCAAACTAAATTATATGTCTGTGAACATGCATGATAAATTTGTACACACATCTGTACATATATTAAATATGCATGCATTCTTATTTTAACATACTAATATAAAATAATGCTAGGCTAAATAATGCAAAGAATTCTTTCAGAAATAATGCAAAGAACTCTTGCATGTTTGTTATTCAAATTTACTCAAAAACAGTATAATGCCACTTGCAACCCCTTATTATGGCTTCTTTACAAATGCCTTGATTTTTTTAAAAAAAGAAATTCCTCTTAGATGCCTATGGAACAAATAACCAAAATCAAAAAATTAAAGTTATTTCAGTATTATTTTCTAAGCTGAATGTCATATTCAATTTGCATGATTTCCTTGGCCATATTTTTCCCTTTGGAGGATTTCTACTTATAAAAGTAAAGTAAAAGTAAAGGCCCTCCCGTTCATCATCGATTTGCTCGAGCGGGCCCAGTAACGTCTCCATTGGAGACTTTGTTGTTACTGTCTCTGGCATATCGAGTACGTCACGGGGAGCTTTCCAGGCTCTGCTGTGCGGGCGAGATACTCTCCGTAGCTTGCCGGGCTCTCCAAGTGGGTGGAGGAATTGAACTCGGGTTGGCCATGTTGGCTGCCTGCAAGGCAAAGGCCCTACCGCTGTGCTATCGCTCCAGCCCATATTTTTAATATAATGATTTTTTTTCCTGGCATAAAAGCCAATCTAGACACTATACCACAATAGTTTTATTCCTTTGGTTTTTATCTAGAATAGTTTAGCAGCCTTTGTCTTTTAGTACCGTGACATTTTTTGGCAATTTCTGACCATTTATTTTACAGTGTTTCTCAGAGACTACAGGACTACCCTGCAGGACCAACTTCTTTCTGGTGTGACCCCATGTCCTGAGCACTTGGGAGCTGGTCCTATAAACACCCTTGCACCACTCCTTCATAAAAATTTATTGGATAGTTGTGAAAAATCCTAACTTACTCAATCATCTACTTAATCATTTTCATTGTGATGAGTTATATTCAGCAGTTCAACAAATCAATTTATACTTTTTAGTCATATTACCCAATTCTGGGTCTTAATACAGCACTTTAATTTTCATTTTTAGCATTTTTTTACAGAAGTACTTTAATACCAAAGAAACTTTGTGTTTTGTCATCCAGAGTAAAATATTGAAACACTTAGTTCAGTGACTATACTTGTTCCAAAGTGTTTGCCTCCTAATGCTTCTAGAATCTAATTTATTGTGTTCTAAATGAATAGTGTTATAGAACATTGTAATATTAACATTGTGGTTTTTATCTTATAAAAAAGGTTTTATTATATAAAAAGAATGTGGTAAACTAAACAAAAGTTCAGATACTTCCCTGGTAGTGATTGAAGTGGTATAGATATTCAAAATGTTCCAAGCAATTGTAAAAAAAAAAAAAGAAAAGAAAAAGAAGTATAACTTATGTAAAATTAAGTAAGACAAACTCGTTTCCTTTTCAATAGTTTTTCTGCGTATCCACAAGAATTTTCATAGTCATAATTTTTCATAGAATTCCTAGACATAGATGATAATTTTAAAGTTAGAGTACACTCTATTTTTTAGTTGAAAGAATATATTTTTGAGCGTTTTGCATTACGGTGTTTTGTCTTTGATTTTTTTTCCGGAATTCTCAGCTGTCCATCAGAATGGGTTGTCCATGAACCAGATGCTGATGGGCTTGTCACCAAACATACTTCCTGGTCCAAAAGAAGGAGACTTGGCTGGTCATGACATGGGTCATGAGTCAAAAAGGATGCATATTGAGAAAGGTAATATGAAATAATAGTGTCGCCTGTTTCTCCTGCTATACGCATAAACAAGATTTTAATCACAAACTAACCTTTTTACATCACATAAAGAAGCCATATAAACATTTAAAAGCAGACAATCTAAACATTAAGCCTTTCCATCAAAGAAGAAAGCTGTAAATGAAGACCTGATGCTTTTCTCTCATATAACAGGTATGTGATAATTTACTTTCGATGTATTGTCAAACGGGAATAGTTACAATTGTACTTGAAGTTCTGTTCATTGTCTTCTATGTGTTTTCAGTCAGCTGTCATTTTACTTAGAGCAAAAAATATAAAATTGTTATTGTGACAATTATTCGATTTGATTTATTTGGTGGGGTGGTCTACACCCAGCTCTGCTCAGTGGCTTCCCTGCTCTGTACTCAGGAATTAATTCTGCTGGACTCAGGATTACCATGTGTAGTGCTAGGTGTTGAATCAGGGTTTGCTGCTTGCAAGAATGCAAGGCAAAACCTTCATTCCTGTGCTATCACTCTGACACTATGACTATTTTTTTGATTAATAGTCACTTATTGCAGTACTCAGGAAATAGAATTGACTTTCACCAACCAGTATGTACTGTTTAAAAATCATATGTAACAATGAATAAAACCCAGATTGTCCAAGGATGCAAAATTTTCCTATTTTTATTTGCACTAGCTTATAATTTTCATAAAAATAATTTTAGTTCAGGCCCTATATCATAATGTAGTTTCAAGATTGATTAAACTATTATTTTATTTTATGTGTACTAGTATTATGTGCCAAATGAAAAATTTTGAACAATGATTAAAAGAATTGATTCACCTCTTTTTCATTATTTTCCATTTTTATTAAGTAATATTATTCAACTTTTTGACATGAACACCAAATAAAAATATAATGTAAAGTATTATTTCTTTGGAAAATAGGAGTATGCTGAAAAACAAACAACTGTCAAAATAAAAACATTAAAATAATCAAACAGAAAGAATAGGTTAAAGTAAAGCACCTTTGTCTTGTTCTGAAAAAATTTCTTCACAAGTAGTCATAATGCATCAGAATACTTATTTTCCCTTTCAACAATTAGTCGAGTCCTTTGGGAGTTAGAGAAACAGTATTTCAACAAATTAGATTATCAGTGTTATGGAATAACAATGACAAAATTATTGTTTCTTCTAGACACTAACATGTCAGAACCTGGGCATAAATGAGAGATAACTTGAAGTAGCTATAAGTATTTTTTTAAAATTTGGTACCAAGTTTTGCCACATGCTTGATTGTAGAATATTGATGGGTCAATTTATCTCTAAATATGTAATTGTAGTTCCATGCACTCTTCATCACTGAATTCAAATAATTTATATTATATTCTATGAGTTTCATCATCATCATCCTGTTATTCGTCGATTGCCTCGAGCAGGCCCCAGTAATGTCTCCTTCATCCTAGCCCTGAGATTATATTCAAGGCTCTTTAGGAGAATGAGACCCATCATTGTTACTGGTATTTGGCATATTTGGTACGCCACGGGGAGTTTGCCAGACTCTGCCCTGTGGGCAGGCTACATTCGATAGCCTGCAAGTTTGTCCAAAGTAGGAATGAGATAATAAGATGTCATAAAAGATGTACTGATAAGATGTCGCGCGGCTTGGAGGTCTCGTCCCCGGAACCCGCGTGGCTTTGTCCCTCTGCCAGTACCTTCATGTGTGCGGAGAGTGGTCTCAGCATGGTGGTGGCTGGTCCTGGAGGTCTTCGGCTGCCGGAGCCCTGGTCGGGGCGGGGAGGAAAGCTCAACCCGCTCCCCTCCAATGGACCCCAGCGAGGAACAGCCAGGCGCGGGGGCAGACTGCACTGTTCTCGTCCGGGAGCTGAAATTTGTAGTCTCTGAGTCTTGGCCGTTGATGGGATTACACGGCACCAGGGGGCCAGGTGGTGGGTGTGACCCCCGCCTACTGGAATTTGGAGGATCTGGGTGGAGGATGCTCGACTCCAATCCGAGTAGGCTGGGAGATCTCGGCCCAGGCAATCTATGAAGGTTCTTACTTATACCTTTAATATTTAATCAATAACTTATTTGTGGACTAATGAAAACTAGCAAAGTGATAATATGATAAAACCATATGATGTTTAATTTTAAGTATTCTTATTTAAATATCTAAACTGTAAATTAAGCAGCCTTCATCAAGTTCTGTCATGCAATGGTAGAATTTGTGTGTATATATATATATATATATATATATATATATATATATATGTATTTGGTAACTTCTACGCAATGTTCTCACAACATTACATAGATAATGTTCCTTACACAACAAAAAGTTAGTGTAATTTTTTTACCTAGATCTTTGTAATACACATAAATATTGTCAGTAAAGTTTTAGTCATATAATCTAGAGAATATTCAGTGAAAAAAATGGTAATCTTAAGAATTTTCATGTATTTCTCTCAGAGAACCCTGGTAAAAAGCTGGGATTGAAATATTGAAATATAGATGTAGCAAAGAATATACCATGAAAGGCTTAACTAATAATTGCAATAATCAATCTTTCTGGAAATTTTCTCTTGGGGGTGGTTTCTCAAACATTACTCAGAAATCCAGCACCTCCTTATAGATTCTTAGCCAGCAGGGTCCCCACAGTGTGGTGCTGGTCCTGTACTGTGTCTCTGGGGATTATCTGAGCCACTCCATTAGTGTTCAAACCACTCCATCAATGCTCACTCTATATCACAGACATACCTGAGTATACCTGGGGTACTCTAGAGCCCCACCAGTCCATCAGACTGCACCTGCAAATCTCAAAGGAACTTGTAATACTGAGGATTGAATGGGGATCAGTTGCATGCAATGCACACACCTTAACCTCTATGCTGCCATTCTGGAATTTAGGGTTTTTTTGGGAGGAGAGGTGCACACCCAGCTGCGTTGAGAGGTACTACCTGGCTCTGCACTCAGCAATCCCTTTTGTGAGTGCCTAAATCTGCCCTATGCAAGGCAATTGGCCTACCTTCTATACTATCACTACAGCCCCCTTTCTGGAACTATAATGAAAATCTTTATGTAATCTGATGCTTTAAATTGAGTTGCCCTATAATTTTGATAAATATTTTGTCTCTTCATGTATCCTGAGTTCTATTTTCATGCAGATTATCAATTATTCAGTGATTCTGTTACCATTGTCACTTTGATACCATGGATCCTTTATTGAATTTAAAACTGGATTTCTCTAACGACACCACTTCTCTTCCTTTTATGTCTCTGCCCTCAAAACTCTTTATATGGGTTATTATTTCTTCATTAATCTGCTTCCAGGTCTACATTGTACTCCTCTTAAATCATTTATGTGTAATATTTACTTTAAACAATCTATGAAATCATAGTGATCTAGACTTAATTAGAAGAGTTCTAAAAGAGAGTGAAGGCAAGTTTAAACAACTATGAAAATTCTCTGTAAGGATAATAGGAAAACAAAAAGTTGGAATTACATATGCAGTAGAAAGTGAACTCATATAAAATAGTAGAACATTCTGATCACAAGTACACAAATCAACGTTGGTATCCGTAATCTTACTTTGTAAAAGTTTTCAAAATAGTTCTGCTGTCAGAATAAAGACCTTGACCATATCCCACCAGTGTTTCAATATTTTAGTCTGTATTATAAAAGGGAAATTACTTCATTTTGATATTCTGACAGAATGTGAAACTACCAATGAACTTCTGGGTTTGTAATTGTGAACGACCTTGTAACTATGTATCTCACAATGATTTAATTTTAAAAAAAGAAAAAATATCAACATACAAAATGATTATAATACTCTCTAAAGCATGAGGAGAAGCGTTTGTAAGATTGTGAACTTTCTCAAAGATCTGTGCTGAGAAAAACTGGCATGATATATGACTTTTACAAAAGCAATTTTATATCTTTTAACTTTTCCAAACGTTCCAAATTCTCCAGAGGTTTGAGGATTTAAAAAATTTTCATGATAACCTCTTAGTCTAAATTTAGTGGAATGGATAGAAATAGTTGCCATTTGAATTATATAAATAGTTTTACTGATTTATTTTTCCACAATCCCTATTTATCCCTCACATAGTTGTTTATTGATACTAATTTACAGTGTTATTCTCTAAAAATAGTTTGGCGGTTGTTGTTTTTTTTCTTAAATTGCCACTAGCTTAAAAATATTTGACCATGCTTCTCTTATACTGCATGTAGCTTTATTTGCACAATTATTAATATTGTAGAATCATTTGACTTTTAATTGATCAAATATTATATGTATGTTGCAGTTAAGCTAAACACTAGCTTTTTTCCAATAAGTAAGAAAAGAATCGAAGCATTTATAATTGGAATTAGTTACCAAATTCTCATTTTTCTCTACATCAGTCCAGTTCAGTATTAAAATGAAGTATACCAAAATGTTATATTCACCGAGTAAATATTTCCTGAATGCCAGCTATGTGAAAGAGTACATCTAAAATGCAAAGGAGCATTTCTCTCTCCTGTACCCACCCAGACTCCTTGTATATAATGGTTGACGGATAGTACTCAGCCATCTGCTTAACCACAGTTAGCATATTTACCTAAAAGATTCTGCATTCGGTCTCAGAATTTGAAGACAGAGCCCTAAAGACAATGAAATAGCACCAACTGACTTTGTTTGGATTTCTCTTATTAATTTATATTTTATTTTTAGCTCCCAATCTTGTCTACCACTTTTCCTAAAAAGGATTTTATTGAAAGACTATGGGTCATTTTTTTAAATTCTACTTTTAATTCAATAGTTTGATTTCCCCGCCCCTCTTGGAGAGCCCAGCAAGCTACTGAGATTGTCTCGCCAGCACGGCAGAGCCTGGCAAGCTCCCCGTGACGTATTCGATATGCCAAACACAGTAACAACAAGTCTCATGATGGAGATGTTACTGGACCCGCTCGAGCAAATCGATGAACAACGGGAGCACAGTGACAGTGACAATATTTATTAGTGAAACATCATG